ATTTCAATAGAAGAGAATATCTGTAGCTCAGGGTTGAACTGTGGAGCCCTTGGTGCTCTCTGAGCTTTGGTTGTTTGCTTGCAGATGTTTCATTACCCAACTAGGTAATATCATCAGTGCTAGTGAGTGTGGGGTTTGTCGTATTTTAGTTAAGTCTAGTTCACAGGCCTTCTCCCTGTTCTCTGATTCTTGGACTTGAGTTACCAGAGCTGCTCGCCTCCTGGGTCCTGCCAAGTGTAGCTCCCTAGCAGACAGGACCAGGACAGGTCTCAACTACTGGTCCTATTGTCCCCATGAGTGACCTGCCCTAGCTTCCCGCCATATCTTCCTCTGCTCATCACAACTCCGATGGAACTGCCTCCCTCCTCCCCTCTGCCAGCTCCATTCCACCCTCCTCCTCACCCACCCTGGCCCTGGAATATATCTAGTCACCCCTTACCCACACCTAACACCACCCCAGCTACCACCTCAGGCTATTTCTGCATCCAGTGCTCACCCTACCCACCTCAGACTCTAGCAGAAACAATCCAAGAAAGATCCAACTTTTTAACTCTAAGGAAGCAATTAGTATCCAATTACTGCCTCATCTCAGTAATGGGCTGGATGAGGGAGAACAACTTGAAATAATATCTAGATAAGGTGGAAATGCTGTTGATAAAGAAAATGCTAGATTTTGGGACTGAGGTGAAACTTGATCTAGACGAGGTTGCACTTCCCCAGAAAGAACAGGCTTCAGTTTGGGAGTATTTCTCGACACTCCCACATCTGTAGATTTGCAGGTGGTGTCTGTGGCAAGAAGGCTGCTTGAAGAGTTATACCTAATGCCCTGATTGTGACCCATTCTGAGCTAGTCGGAGTTAGTGACCATTGTCCATATCTTGGATACAATCTATCTTGACTACTACAATGCAATTTTTGTAGAGTTACCTTTGAAAAGTCTTAGAAAATTACAGTTGGTGCAAAATGCAACACCCGGGCTGCTGACTAGCATAAGGTACAAGGATTATATGATGCCTGTACTAAAAGATCTGCACAGACTACCAATTGTCTACCAAGCATAAGTTAAGATGCTGGTGCTAACCTCTGAAGCCTTAAGTGGTTTAGGACTTTATTGTTTGCAGGGCTGCTTCTCCTGCTATGAACCTACCCAGTTTCTTTGATCAGTAAGCTTTTAGTTGTTAATTTTAAGTCTGGTTTTAATTTTGATTAATTTTGTTTTATCCATTGTATTTTTAATTGTTTTAAGCTGCCTTGAGTGTTGGAATAAACAGAAAGGCAGGGTATGCATTCAGTAATAAATGAATTATTATTATATTGTCCTGGACTGGGAAATGGGTCGAGTGTTGGGATGTTCATATTTCTTGTGTAACTTTTTTTTGCTGTTCCCCAATTTAGCTGCTGCCTTAACTACTGTTAGAAGCTGTCTATTAGTACATGCTCATAAAAAATGAGAGTCATTCTGTAGTAGCTATTCTTAAGTTTTTTTTCTGTCTTGCTCTTAATAAATGTTTAAACCTGTTGAACAAACTTTCAATTTTAAGCTTCAGCATGGATTTCTTCAATATGGTCTAAACATATCATCAAGTAATTAAAACTTTCCAGTAAGTTTGACTCCTCCAGAAGAGACAGGACCCTCTTCCTTTTGAGTTGGTGCACTTAGCATTCCCAACTAGTCTCCACTGAACACTGACTTAACTCCAGATCAATTTAGCTTGAGCAGGAATGCTGCATCATGTTCAGAACATGTCTTTGGACCATCTGACCATACCCAGTTCAGAAGTGGCCAGTGCACCTTTCAGAGGTAGCATGAGAGATAATATGAATCTTGACATATGACTTGCCAGGTTTAGTTTTGAGTTAGAATTGAGTTAGAGCTTAGTTTTCTGGATCAAAGGTCCTTAATTCAATCTATCTAATGTAATAGCATCCATAAGGGATGTGCATGAATTAAGAGATTGTTGAAATTGGGCAAAGTTTTGTATGAAAAGAGAGAGAAAACTGCCATCCTACAAAAATAGATATGTATTCCCAACAAAGTGAAGAGTGATTAAAAATATTGGTTCAGCACATAACCGCAGTTTCTTTTTAAGTAAAGAAGTGAAAGCATTATTGTATAATATTTATCTTCAGTCTGTTATACTTCATCTGGTGGGACTAAACAGTTGGTGCACTTCAGTGAAACTCCAGATGAGGAAAATGTCTTGCTAGCACTTGGCAAAGGAGAAAGGCATACAAAAACATTTGTGTCTGAATGAATCTGGCAGAAACATCAAATAATTGCTGCAGTCTTTGGGAATGAAAAAGAACTTCTTTTCTCCCTCCAGAATTCTGTAATTTAAAATGCAAATATAGAAGACCACTTCTGACTGCTTTGTAAAGTTACAAAAACAGATACACGCAAGTAAGAGTTGCAGTTTCTTCTTTATGGATGAGACTTCACCATGACCATTGTGTCCAGTTCTGACCATCACATGAAGATTTACATGAGGTGGATCAGGTTCCAGAAAAATGACATGAATAAACAAGGGACTAAAAACTTAAGTCCCATGAAGAGAGATTAATAACTTGAGAATGTTGACCCTTCAGAAGAGACATAGACATAACTTTTTTTAATAGCTGCTAGGATGTCATAGACAAGAGCACTGTCATCACCCTTATCATAATGAATGATCTTATCTCAGAGGCAGGGTGCAGAAAAAGGGTTTTAAGTTAAAAGAAGGCAGACTTGGAATGAATATTAGGTACAATAAGAGCACTTCGATAGTAGGACCAATGACACAAAGAGATGATAGGTATGTTCAAGCATGTGTCAGAAATGCTTTAACTTGGATTTCTGCATGGGGAAGTGGTTGGACTTAGTGCTCTAAATAGCCCCTTCCAATTGTGTGATTAAGATGAAGAAGATGATTATATGTGTATTACATTTATATTGCATACATTGTAGAAGAAATTCAAAGTAGGATACATGGTTCTTTCTGCTCCTTTAGTTTATTCTCAAAAGAATCTTTGGGACAGATTAGGTATTGAGATAGTGACAATTTCAACACTGTCTTAGCTGGGTGGAGATTTAAATTCCTGCCCAATATCCTAACTGCTGAACTCTAGCCACAACTTAGTGAACGAATCACAACTGCCTGGATTTATGCAACAGATTAAGTCAAAACCAAACAAATTACAATTTAGTGTAATTTGTACAATGTGTGAATCCAATCTATGATTCATACTTAATTCAACATATGGAACAGAATTTTGTAGCATCCAGAGACTCTGCTGGAGTTTGGTTTTTTATTTTTACTGGAAATGGAAGGTTAGGTATATAAGATGCACCGAATTCCCTAGAGACCTATGCAAGTATTCTTTCCCCAGGCACTATCTTTTCTTCCTCTCACATCCATCCCATGCAACTATGTAAATATGGTCCTTCTAGGGCTGTGGAGATTACTATTCCCAGTTTGTGTCAATATTTTTATTTAAGAAGGTTGAATGATGTTTCCAAATAAATCTTATGGCTCTGGAAACTTATTTTCCTCCTTGGTATAGGCTGCTATCTCTGCTTGTCTCCTAATCTTTTCTACTTGTCTTACCAGATTATCGAGTTGGAGACTGGAGATCAGTTTCGCCTGGAATGTCTCACTTAGGGACATTTGGTTGAACTTGGTCAAAAATCCACTTCAGGCTCTGTGGAATTAATGAGTGGCACCAAATAACTTGAAAGCCAATTTGGTGTAGCGGTTAAGGCATTGGGTTAGAAACTAGGAGACCATGAGTTTTAGTCTTGCCTTAGGCACGAAGCCTGTTGGGTGGCTTTGGGCCAGTCACTCTGTCTCAGCCCTAGGCAGGTGGCAATGGCAAACCTCTTCCAAAAAACCTTGCCAAGAAAACTGCAGGGGCTAGTCCAGGCAGTCACCAGGAGTCAACACTGACTCGAAGGCACACACATACCAAATAACTTGCTCTGCCTGACAGGATGGCCATGAAATTTAAAAATATCCTGATATTCACAGGATACAACCACATTAAACAAACTTTGCTCTGTAAAATATTAAAAAAGAAAGCAGGAAGTTTGATGAGATTGCTAACAATTTCCTTTTAATTTTCAGCCTGCAAACTTCCCCTACAAGGAAGAGATTATGTCAATGAATTCAACCTGCCTAATTGTCATTCTTCTTCTTTGTTTAAGTATCACATTGGCTTTCAAGGTAAGCATGCATCGATTAACATATTTTTACCCACCTTCTACTTAACAATATGAACTGGGAAAGATAGGAAAAGGCAGGAATTGCAGCAAAAGTTATTTGCAGACCAACACAGAGAAACTGGAATACTGTAGCAAGAATGGGGCTAAATCCAAAGGATTGCAAGGAAAACAATGTCCTAGCTTGATAACAGGGTCACAATCACATATGTGGGTGTCCTATGAATTTTACAGAACGAGCCAGCCTTCCCCTAAACTGGTGCCCATGAATTGTATTGGAACTATATCTGTTTGAATCCACCAGTACCAGGATGGTGAAGTCTAATGAGCTGTTAGAGTTGTTATGTGCAAAGCAGCAAAACATGCTTTTATTTCAAAAGTGTCAGACTGGTGAGCTGTATTCAGTGGCTTTGCTTTTCAGGGTGAAAGTAGGCCAAGATGATGAACTGATTGTTTCGGGACAGGGAAAGCCTTTCAGTGGGCATTACAAAAGCTGTCTTTTAAAAACTGTGAAAAGATGGTTGTAAGCTATATGCTCAATAGACTGCTTGTGTCCTTATTTTGTCTCTGACTGAGAGAAATACAAGCCTGGTGTATGTATGTCAGTGTTCCAATTTGAATTCTTTGTGCTTTGCATAAAGCTGATACCTATTTGTAGATTTAGGGGATCTGTGTGATAAAAGCCATCATCAAGTAAGTTGTCTCATTCCCCATTCATATAGCAGGTGATGCCTGTTCCCCATACTGAAATGAGAAGTATAATATCTCTGTGCTCATTCCTATTTTTAATTATCGCTATCTTAAGTAACAGAGGAAATCACTGAGCCTAGAAGCACGCGGCAGGTAGAAGTGGCCACCTCTGATAGATCAGTGCTGAGCTGAACAGTGCTCCCATAATTTTGGTCTCCAAGTTAAATCTTCCTTACCTTCTATTTTGACTTTGGCATATGTCTCCCATTGTTCAAAAGGGGTTATATTCCATATACATCTAAATAATACTTAGATGTATATCACAAATCATATCTAAATGATCCATCTAAATGAATTATGCTATTACTTAAATATAACAAGCTTGTTTTCAAAAAAAAAATACAGTATCTATCTCTTCTTTATATTAAATTTTGATTTAACTCACTGGTAGTCTTAATATAAATCCTTCAAGACATTCATTGTGAGATAGTCTAAGGGTGCGTTTAGCTTCTTTGGGGATTGGCACTTTTGGAAAGAATTGCCAAGATCCGGTAGTCTAAACCAGGCCCTAAATGTCATGAGACAAAGACAAATACAGGCCATCATCAACAGAATAGAGATGTCAGTATTTACCGTATTTTTCCGACTAAAAGACAATACTTTTTTTCTAAAATCCTTACCCTAAAAATTGAAGGGCGTCTTATTCAAGGAAGTCAG